CAAGCCTGCAGCCACCACTGAGGCCTCAAGAGAGGTTATCACTGGCATTCCAGAAAGTAGAGGGAAGAAGGAAAAGAGAAAGATCCTGGGAAGCAGCATCTCTGTTACACCAGGCATTGAACTTGGAATCTTCCATTTAATACTTCATTTGTTCCTCCCATTTTTCTTTCTTAGATAAGAACATGGGGCTCAGAAAATAGAAACAGCCCTAAGTCCTGGGTGGTGGAGCCCAGTGGCCACTGGCTCTGAAACTCACCTGTCTTCCACTTCCACAGACTGTAAGGTATTGACAAACCCATGGTTGTTATTGCTTGTTTCAATTAGCAATGCAGCAATTTAGTCATTTTAAATTAATCCTTGGAAAAAAATCACCAAGAGATTATAATGCAAATTTCAACATGGCTTGAGCTCAGCAGTGCTTCTATGTCAAAAATCTCACATATAGAAGTTCAGAGTCTCCTTAGAGAAAAAGCTTTCCTACCTCATTTCAACTCTGAGATTTAAAAAATCATTTCTTTTCCTCTTTCCTCATGAATATCAAAGGTCAACTGTAGGGAGGCAGGGTGGGGTTATAATGGAAACAAAATGCTTTTGGGTCCTGACAAACCTAGTCACTCCATCCCCTTTCAGAGCTGACTCTGGGCTGGAACCTCAGGTCTGTGAGCCCTGGGTCCCTTTATGTAAAATGGGGCTCACTCAGCCTCACAGAACTGCAAGGATCCAAATGGAAGGAGGTACCTTTAGGAGTCAGACTGCTTTTATTATTCATTCCTGCTCAGAAACAAACAAGGCCAACCTTTTATGGGTTTGCAAAGGAGGATTATGGGAACAATGGGTCATGCACAGGGAATGGGCTCATTAATGGCAAAACCAGCAGAGGGAGTGCAAAATTTTGACAAATTTGGGGTCAGAGGAGGAGTTAGAGGTGGGACTATGGAGGAGATGGTTCTTTTAAAATCTAAAGTATGTTTTTAATCTTGGTAACTATGGTTTTACAAATGAAGACTTTATCAGAGCTTTTGGATATCTTAATTTTAAAATCTTAAGGAGTTCTCAGTCCTAACAATAAATGTGAGTAAAAGAATGAATTTAAGTGATTGTGTCTATTATACCACTGTAATAGCAAATGCTAGATGTAATCTGAGTGCCATTAGCATAATAGCTAAACACTGTGGAGACTGGCAGTACAACATGGTGGGTCAAACATACGTCTTTTCTCTGTACTAAGACCATGCTCAGCCCACTCTAGAAAGTCACCATGAAAGAATTTTAAAGGACATTAACCCAAAGAATATGAGAAGAGAGAAATCAAATTTGTAGAAGTCAGAAAGCAATGATATCACCAAGAGAAGATTCTCCCCGCTGGGTCATTTGCTTCTAGGGACATGTGGCATCGTTTGGAGGCATTTTGGCTGGCACAGCTAGAGAAGGGGATGCTACCAAGATAGAACAGTAGCGGCTCGGGATGCTAAGATTACTGAACATACAAGAGAGTCCCAAGCAAGGGAAAGTGGGTTACTGGGCCCAAGCTGCCACTAGCGGGAAACTTGCAGGAGGCTGGCTGGGCAGGGGCCCCGGCCCTGGGCACTGACTCCAACTAACACCCAGACTTCCAAAATGGCTCAAAAACTGGAGACTTGGAGCCTCTAAAGGCTGGGGGAGAAGGTCATATAAAAATGATAGTCCTTTGATTCCAAGGGTCTCCTCACCCAGTTTACTTAGCTAGCCTGGCCTCCTGGCACCCCTCCCAAAGAGAATGCAAATTTTTTTCTACAGGAAGTGAGCTAGAAGACCTGGGATGTCAGGCACTGCGGAGGACAGGGGATAAAGTTTTCTATCAAAAACAGGAAATGGGTTCCTAAAAGTACATATGTGAAATGTTACTATACTAGCCCAGCTGCTGGAACACTGGTAAGGAAGCTTACAACTCCCTGGCCAAAGAAAAGTGACTCGAAACATATACTAATACTGACATGTGAGATTCCCACTTACCCCCAAGTAGCCAGGCCTCTCTCTGATCCGTCCTCCACAAGGAAGCCCGCCAAGTGATGAGCCCCATTCATAAACACAGAGCTTCCAAGTCATTTTTAGTGTCTCACTCTCGAATATGAACCATGAATCGGCAGCTTCCCTGAGGAATGCCTCCAGAATAACAACAGAAGAAATGGATGCCAAGGAAGAAAATAATGTAGGGAGAACAATTTTCTAAGTGCTATCAATAAAAGTCTCCTAGAGAGGAGAAAAAATATTATACCCATGAAATAAGGTACCTTTTAAAAAATGAACAGTGTATTGCACACCACCAAGTAGCTCTTGGATATTAACAATGAAGTTAATAAATTTAAAAGTGTAGAAAACTTAGTTGGAGTAGAAAGACTACAAGAGTAGATACCAACTAGAGAAAAGAAAGTCAGAGGACCAACACAGTACCACAGAGGGACCCAAGAAAGGGCAAAGAAAAAGAATTTTTTCAAAGGAATAATATGAGAACATTCCCCTGCTTCTACTCTTCCTAAAGGAGTTTGAGTTCTTTGGATTTCCTCAATCACTCTCCTTGTATCATAGATCATCTCCCTTACACTGCAGACATTATTCAGATTTTTCTGGCTCATGGTGGCTCCCTCTGCCATTACTTGGATGCTTTTCTCCTTAATTTTATAGTTCTCACATTTTAATAAACGTTTTGAGTGATGAAAAATAAAATTATGTATATGAAAGCTCAGTTCCCTAGAATCAGAAAGTCCAAGGTTGAAATTCTAATTCTACCACTTCTTGGTTGTAGGTTCTTAAATCCCCAGAGCCTCTGTTCCTTTATATAAAATAAGAGTAATTGCAGTAGGTATCACCTAAGCTTTTTAAGAGAGGTAAATGAGAAAATGCAGAAAAAGCACTAAACATATCATTTGACACGTGGTATTATTTAATAAACATTTACTGTTGGAAGAGAAATATGATTTAAATTTCTTACTGCTTAATCTAAATAAAAAGGAGGTAATATTTTCCACTATAGCCTCTTCATATCGATAACATACTTTATATCTGAATATACTCAACAATTGCAATGTATTAAGACTGGTATCAAATCACAACACAACACCCTAAATTAATTAAATTTGATTACTTGGCATCTTAGTTTACCTACTCTACAGCAACACTTAAAAGAATTTCATCTCTGTGAATCTGAGCTATGGAGAAATATAGCACTTATTCTACTATTGCTAAAAATGAATGGGGTAAATACCCCAAAACACTGCATGCACGAACTTGAACAGATGTTGTCCAGGTTATTCACAACAGCCAAAAGGTAGAGACAACCTGAAGTTCACTGATGGATATGCAAAGTGTAGCCTATTATACAATAGAATATTCTCCAGTCTTAAAAAGGAAGGAGAGTCTGATATGTGCTATTGCATGGATGAACCACAAAGTCAGTATGCTAAGTGACACTGGCCAGGCCCAAAAGGACAAATATTGAATGATTCAGCTTAAATGAGGTGTCTGAAGTAGTCAGATTCAATGACAGAAAGAACAGTAGTTACCAGAGGGTGAAAAGAGAGGGAGGAGAAAGAGGAAGTTCTTCTCTAAAGAGTATGGAGTCTCAGTTGGAAAGTTGTGAAAGTTCCGAGGCAGTTAGTAGTGATGGTTGCACCATTATGTAAATATACTTAACTTTATTCCACTGAACTGTGTGGGTATCAGGATGGTAAGCTTCATGTTATACATACTTCCCACATTTTTTACAAAGGAGTCAAGGGCCCAAGTGGTGTCAATTCTGGATTTAATTTTGCATAATCTATTCCTAGGCAGAGGTTAGGATACAGTTGGTTCATTCAGAGGGCAGACATTAACTTCTGCTCTTTCAGACTCAAATTCACTATTCCTGAGTCTTTAAGAGATAGGGATGGGGCTCTCAAAGCTATATTCACAAATGTTTTATCTTCTTAAAAATGAATATAGAAATGAATACATCTACCCTAATAAAATCTTTACATGGAAACTTTTAAAAATAAAAACATCTTGGCCCTACCTGGTGGTGCAACAGGTTAAAGCACAGCACTAAGAAGCTAAAGCCACACCAGCACGAGTTCGATCCCTGCCCAGAGCTGACCCATATGGTGCAGCAGACCTCTCCTGACCTGCCCGCTGCTCCCCTCAGCAGTATACTTCATCAATCAGCCTGTTCTGCTCCCCACTCTGTCTCTGGTGAATCCTCTC